AAAAGGTTTCATGCAAAAGGTTTCATTCCGATCGGTCCATCCAGCTAGGCGTAATGCGCGAACATACATAAAAAAAAAAAAAAAAAAAATACATATATATACTGATCGAATTGAGTAACCTTCTCCTTTTTCAAAGTCGGTTAAAAAACGGTACGCCACGGAATGTATGAAGATCCAATTAAAGGATATAACTGATTAAGGTCGATGAATGAGTCCCCGAGCTAAATGATACTAGCAATAGGTCATTCGGCAGGATATCCAAAAAACATCTTTAAGTTTTAATCCCCTATTTCAACCGAAAGGGGTAGTAACAGGGAAAAATCAATATTTTAGTTTTTCTTGAACGCTTGAAAATTAGTTTTCATGAAAATCAGCTGAATATTTATATTAATACGCAATTTTTTTATACAATTCATTATTTACACAATTTTTAGTCAAAAACTTAGATTAATAAAAACAAAGGAGGTTGGTATATTTATTTAACACTTCGTATAATGAAGTAATATTCGTTAATATTGAATTACCGTTAGACGATAATGCCCCGTTTAGTTTGTTGGTGAATGAACGCACGTCTATTATGTTTCAGTGACATCAGATTCGACATGTCTCCTGAAGCGGATACCTCGAGCATGACAAACAAATGGTTGGTACAAAGGACTACCGATGTTGCATCAGTGCAAAACACCTCGAGCGCATACAGCAGTGCTGCATCGAGTGCAATGGGTAACCACAATGCAAACAACCTGTACATGGGTGATCTTGTCGATAACGGCGCTCTTAAGTCCGCTAGTATGTTGCTGAGTATAGAAGACTTCGACGTTAGCAGGACCAGTCGTCAAGTTTTTATATAATCGGCGATATGCAAGTTAGTATTACTGTTACACGTAATACACTTTATCGTATTTCGTTTGATAAATTTTCACTTTAAACACAACAGCAGTACGTCGTTTAATTGGCGAAAGGCACAGATATTTTCTTTTTAAAATAGAGCTGCGCAGTAAATTTAATTTATAGATTAAAATACTTAGTACACAAAATGAAGCATTCAGAAAGAGATATATTGTAATTACAGTATTTGGAATTAAAGATTTATGTCTTTTCTTGTAGAAAGGAAAATAGATTTTGTTAGACTCATTTTTACTTATGAGCTTTGTAGACTATATGTATGTATGAGTAAAACAGAATTCATTGATTTTGTTAACTTCCTTTTCTTTTCTCTACCTTTTTTGTAAAACTACACCATATATGTCTTTCTTAATTATGAGAATGCTTATAAATAAATTCTTTTTATTAAGTATAATATTTATCAAGACAGTTTTCAAATATAGTGTAACGAATAGTACTTACGTATAATTAATTGTTTAAAAACATAAGCAATTATTGGATATGCCACTTTTACTGACACGGCAAAAATAGCTATAAGTAATCAAGCACGAAATAATATAAATTATAATACTGAGAATATTAAATACTAATTAAATTAAATACTAATTAATTAATTTCAAAATTTAAAGTCTCAGTGGGATTTTAAGACACGTTTTTCTTTTTAAATTAAACTCATAATACCAATCGCTTATAATACTTCTGGCTAGTTTATAATACATCTCGCTAAGATATCTAACACTAGAATATTTTGCACTAGGATAATTATAGTTTGATAATGTTCCTACTTTTAAATTAAAAAAAATAATTAATTGAAAAGTCAAAAATCGGTTATCATAATAGGAACAACAAAAGTGTGTTAATTCGTGCAAATAGTTAATTCAGTTCAACAAAGATTCATAATTTTTACTGATTTAGTTGTTTTAACGTTAAACAAATTTTTATTATTCTACATATAACATTTTGTTTACCTTCTAAATTTCGGTTGACTAATCGACATAATAGCCGCCCGTCCAAATACTACAAAGTAGAAAATACTATTAAGACCATTGCGTCCATTATATTGTACATGGCTGCATCGACTACGTAACCTAATTGAATTGTTTTTATCCATTTAACGGACGAAGCCTTGCTCAGAGTTTCGAGGCGGCATCATTTACTACTCTTCCTATTTGCACGAATACGTACTATCATTTCAGACTTGCCTTCTCTGTAGAAATGAAAAACTAAAAGTATATTGCGAATAATATGTAGGTTCCTATATTTGTATTCTGTTTTATCTTTCAATATTTGATCATATTAAAAGTATCGAAAATTGTTATTCTGAATTATTTGATTAATTCAAAATGCAAAAAACATTTCTAAACATGCATAATATAATTATTTAAAAATTTAATAATTTACATGTTAAAGTATTCTTTTTTATATACAATATTAAGTAGTCGTTTTCATTGCTTCAGTCAACCTGTTAGTTATATACAACGAAGCTATCAAGAGTTTGGTTCATTATTTGTCATTTATATAGAAAGAAACAATTAATGTTTGAATTCGCAATCATAACCAAATATTGGCCAATAATTATTAGTTGAAACGAAGAAATAAATTTAATTTTGCGAAGTGTACTTCAAATTTTATTTTTAAGTTTAAAATATTTTCTCAAATATTTTTCTGAATTAAATTAACTCTACAATGGCACAAAATTACTAAAATCGAATTGCAATTTTTTAATTCTAATGCAAAAAATATTATGGAGCTTGTTGTGTAGATCTTGCTAAACTTTTCACAGAAGCAGCAGTTGATTAAGTTAATCATTTAAATTATCTTCAAGTAAGAAAAGTGATCCTACCTACAACAAAATTTAATTCTAATTAATTTCAAAATTTAAAGTCTCAGTGGGATTTTAAGACACGTTTTTCTTTTTAAATTAAACTCATAATACCAATCGCTTATAATACTTCTGGCTAGTTTATAATACATCTCGCTAAGATATCTAACACTAGAATATTTTGCACTAGGATAATTATAGTTTGATAATGTTCCTACTTTTAAATTAAAAAAAATAATTAATTGAAAAGTCAAAAATCGGTTATCATAATAGGAACAACAAAAGTGTGTTAATTCGTGCAAATAGTTAATTCAGTTCAACAAAGATTCATAATTTTTACTGATTTAGTTGTTTTAACGTTAAACAAATTTTTATTATTCTACATATAACATTTTGTTTACCTTCTAAATTTCGGTTGACTAATCGACATAATAGCCGCCCGTCCAAATACTACAAAGTAGAAAATACTATTAAGACCATTGCGTCCATTATATTGTACATGGCTGCATCGACTACGTAACCTAATTGAATTGTTTTTATCCATTTAACGGACGAAGCCTTGCTCAGAGTTTCGAGGCGGCATCATTTACTACTCTTCCTATTTGCACGAATACGTACTATCATTTCAGACTTGCCTTCTCTGTAGAAATGAAAAACTAAAAGTATATTGCGAATAATATGTAGGTTCCTATATTTGTATTCTGTTTTATCTTTCAATATTTGATCATATTAAAAGTATCGAAAATTGTTATTCTGAATTATTTGATTAATTCAAAATGCAAAAAACATTTCTAAACATGCATAATATAATTATTTAAAAATTTAATAATTTACATGTTAAAGTATTCTTTTTTATATACAATATTAAGTAGTCGTTTTCATTGCTTCAGTCAACCTGTTAGTTATATACAACGAAGCTATCAAGAGTTTGGTTCATTATTTGTCATTTATATAGAAAGAAACAATTAATGTTTGAATTCGCAATCATAACCAAATATTGGCCAATAATTATTAGTTGAAACGAAGAAATAAATTTAATTTTGCGAAGTGTACTTCAAATTTTATTTTTAAGTTTAAAATATTTTCTCAAATATTTTTCTGAATTAAATTAACTCTACAATGGCACAAAATTACTAAAATCGAATTGCAATTTTTTAATTCTAATGCAAAAAATATTATGGAGCTTGTTGTGTAGATCTTGCTAAACTTTTCACAGAAGCAGCAGTTGATTAAGTTAATCATTTAAATTATCTTCAAGTAAGAAAAGTGATCCTACCTACAACAAAATTTAATTCTATCGGTCAGTCTTATCACGTTCAGATACACCACCGATTTTAGAATTTCCCCAGACGTGTTCCGTCAGGGTCTTCCTTCATTCAATAGGAAATTTAAACTTGGCAGCATTAGTGAATCACTGCTATTGACCGCGAAGCAGAGGGAGGGTAGGAAGAGTGGCAGGGGATCGTCTGTCATTTGTATGGAATCACCCTTAGTATCCCTCGGACGTTCTAACGCCGTGGTTAGTCACGCGTTTCCGTATTTCGAATTTTGTTTGAAAACATCCGCGCGAACAGTCGTCCGGCCGTCTGCGACATGCACAAACATAAATCTCGTGAATCGCTATAAATTTCCTGCGCTACATTCAGTCTCCGGCGAGTTTCTATACGCCAGTGCGACACAGTCAGTCGAAACTTTAAATTGATAAGAGTCGCCAGAACAATAGAGCGAGCTTCTTGAACGTCTGCCAGTGCCATGCACACCAACGTTCGATCAATCGTTGTTTCAGACGCAGAGTCGACGAGCGCACCGCCAGTCCCGCCGAGACGCAAGAAGCGGAAAACGACGCCTGCGGCAATTGCGAAATCTCCTCTTTCGCGAGAAACGTCACCAGCGACGGGCCTCAAGAAGTCGGATAGAAAGCGTTTGGCGCCTCCTCCGCCGCCGCCGCGGACAGCTCGAAGAATCAAATCTCGCAAAGATCAGACAGAGAAAAGGGTTTCAAACGACTCGGTAATCGACAATGTAGAAGAAACGCTGAACAATCCTGGTTTCATCGAAGCGGATAGAACTGATCTGCGGTTCGAATCCGCTGATTTAATATCGACGAAGGAAACGAATGACGCCGGAAATGACATGGATGATAGGAACAAGTCAGATTATGTTACGGATTCACCGAGAGCACGACCGTTTCCTATTTATGAGACTTTCGCCAGGAAGGAGACTAATAAGTATCCACCGTTATTCTTTACCCTACACGATTTTCAGAACGTGATGTCCAGCACGTTGCAGCACGAGGATGACTCGGACACGAAGTCGTCAGTCGAATTGGAGACCCCCTTTAACAATTCTTTTCACGGATCCTTCGGAAATTCGCTGGACGACGAGGAGAACGAACTCTGTTTCCGTGTCACCACTACAAATTTACCGTTTGAGAGGTGTTTGGACAGATGGACCGCCACGTTTGCAGACCACTTTATCGAAAAGCTCGACGAGTCCAATCGTTTCATTTTCGAGGATTACATCGACAGAAGCAACAAGGTAAACGTTCGGCGATCGGCTGGCCCGATGTGCTATGAAAGCTTCGAAGAGGAGTCGTCGGCTCCTCGTTTGACCAAGGTGAGATTCGTGATTGAATCACCGAGCTCTTCTACGCCGGATCTTGATTTGGACGACGACGGGGAAGTCATGTGTGATAGTTTGCGAAATATTGATTCTTTAGTAGACGAGGAAGTCAGCTGGCATCATGGATCCTCCGTACAGTTGACCGAGATTACTGATGACGTGGTTTGCACCGAAGAAGCGAAGAATACGGAGGAAGTGGAAAATCGCCGGGGCTCGAATGAATTTGACGTCGTTCCTTTGACCTCCATTTTGAAGATACGAAGCGATTCGACCAGCTGGCTATCTTTGGAAGATGACTCTAACATCATCGAACTGGCTGATACGGAACCGTTCTTCGAGTGTGAAATAACTCGGAATGATTCGAGGGATTCGTTTCATAGCTCCACCTCGCAGGATTTGCAAAACGAGATGTTTCATCCGTTGGGCGAGGAAAAATTGAAAATCGCGGAGGTCAGCAAAGCTTGGCTGAGCTTAATTAAACCGAAAATTGAATGCGCTGTAGTGTTGACTGAGATTAAAGCCGATTGCTCGAATGAAAAGACGCAATTTGAGAACAGTTCGTTAAATAATATTAATAAAAATGAAAGCAACAATTCAGAAGCCGCAGACACGAATAAGATTGAAAATGACGTGGAAGAGAAACCAATGTTGAGTAAACTAAATGCTAACGTGGATCGAAAAGTTCAAATTGGCGAAGAAAATATGAAAGTTGTCGAACAAATGTCGGAAACAGATGAAGTTACAGATCTTGACTATAAATTGGTAATAAATAAAACAGTCAATAATATTGCGAAAGTAGACTCAGTATCAAATGAAGTAAAGACAGAAATCATCGAAGAACCAACAGAAGGTGATAAACAGCTGCATACAATAAATGATCAAATCGATAAATCAACAAAGGAATATAGAAGAAAAATATTCGTAAATGAATCGCTACGAAATATGTTAAATCATCACGATTTCTCGTCGAATGAATCCGAAGAGCAGAATTCAAGTTTCGAAGAAAATTGTACTATTCCTTCTAACAATGAAGAAGATTCTCAAGAAATAACAACCAACGAGACTAATAAGGTAGAATATAATAAAGATTTGCAAGGAAATTCCGTAGCAAAAGGACGTTTTGAACGAAAAGAAAGTATCAATGTTCCTGTAAACATTCGAAGAAATTCTTTTTTGGAAAACATGCTTACCAAAGATTCAAATCAAATTTGGACAAGTTACGAAATCGTTGATGCTCATTCAAAAATGTCCTCATCAATACTTGACGAACAGATTTCAGAAAGCAAAGAAGAAAATAAAATTGCAAGTAGATTGAACGATTCAATAAACAAAGACCCAGAGATTCAACATATCTTACAAGAATCAAGAGCATCGTTAAAGAAGATAGATACCGGTTTTCCAAAGTCAACCAGTCCTATGATGATTTCTCGATCAAATGAGAAAAATCCTAGTGATGTAAAAAGCAATGTGCTGAACGAATTGTTGTCTAATTTTAACAACATCAAATTGAAACCAGTGAACATCGAAAAGAAAATCATCGACAAAACTATTTCTGAAATGACTGGTTCCACTCAACGAAATGAAAGTGAAGAAAACGTTGAACAGAGCTTAGAAGTTCGCAAAGAAACTTCAAGAAAATCATTCAGTTTGCATGATGAGATAACTAAGGAAACCAGACACGGAATTACTGATCCAGAAACAGAAATGTTTTCTCCGGAACCAGAAGATCAACTTGTTTCTTCAACGTTCGAAATTTTAAATTCCAAAGATCATGACAATAAGATAGACCAAGAATTACAAGAAAAATTGGACACCTGTTTCAGCTCTTCAAACAACTTGGCTAGCGAACCAGAACTGGAAAAAACAGCGAGATTTTCAGTAAGTCCTAATAAATTGTCAGAGCCAAATCTATATAAGGCCAAGGTAATCGAGATCGAAGATTCTTCGGAATCATCGGAAATCACAACAGAAAATCATGTCAGATCGAAAGAAAGCTGTGTAGATAAGAAAGTGTCTATTGAAAATAAGATAACCGGAGGAATGGATATTATCACGAAACCTCCGAAAAGTGAAAAGACTGACGTAATAGTTCACGGACATGAAGATCGTGATCACAAAGACGAAGAAGATTCGAACCATGATCGAGGTTCGACCGTTCAACAGTTAGATTTAAGAAGCAGGAGGATGGTTAGCGGCGATAAGAGTGCCATAGTTAGGAGAATCCCTCTACCCCATTGTAATAATAATGACAATAACAGGGCAGTAACACCCGTAGCTGTAAGTGACGACCAATCCCGTGACACTGTAACAATAACCCCTGGTAGAGTTAGGAGCTTCGTTAGGTACTACGAGATTCGACGCGAGGCGACGACTGACAAAGATTCTAAAGCTAACGATAGAGATAAAATAGATAGAGATAAGATTGTTGGACACCAGTCGGTAGTCAGCATCTGTAGAGGCCTGGAAGCGAGAGCTGTCGAGACTAAATCTCTCGATCCGAAGAAAGACACTGTTTTAACGTTGATGGAGAAGAATTCAGAAAAATCAATCGGATCAATGCCAACGGAAGGTACTTGCACCGTGGACATGGATCAGTTTAGTAACAAGAAGTCTAATTGGTTCGACGATCGTGCCGAAGGAATGAAAGCCGATACGGAATGGAAGAAACAGACTGATTCGTCGCAAGAATCTTGCGGCGATTTGTACATGCAGTCCGGTAAGAACAAAAGAAAGAAGTCGGTGAAATTTCAAGGTGGATTCACAGTGATCGGTCCGAAAAGTCCTGACAAAGATGGTTCCATGGGGAATTCCGCGAGTCAAGATACGAGAACTGAAAAGCAAAAAACTCCCGACAGACCGACACTGAAAGGAGCCATTTTCAGCGGGGAAATGGATCTTCGAGGCACCGAGGAATTGGTGGACGATGACTCACGAATCGAGAAACGAGACGTTGCTGCTCAGGTTAGTAATTGGGTTAATTGGATGTGTAGGATAACACTTTGCGTGATCACAAGAACCGTATTTTTGTAGTATTTGTAGAAAGTATATTTTGATTATTTCTGTTGGTATTTGTTATTAATTTAAATGTATTTTGTGTATGAAATAGAAATATTTTTAAAAACATTGTGATTATGATGTAACATTATTAGGTTATTAGAGGTGGAGAATCCAGTTTCGTTTGGGCATGATAAAAGATTCTCTTTTCAGCGAAATAAATTTCTGAAATTATGATATTCCTTGTTTTTTCTCTACATGTTATAGAATTCTGTTTGTATAGAATAATGCAATTGTAGATTAAGCTTCTAGAAAAGATATTTAGTATTATTAACGTGCTATTTTGTATAGTATTTTATGGACAAGAAATTGAGGGAATGTTACTTAAATAACGAAATTTAAGATAAAAATAAATATCGGTCGTATTAACACTAGATTGCCTAAAGCAGTCATTTTGACTACTTTTCAGTTTCAATTAGAAAAACAATTATGTATAGACTGATACAGCTTCTTAGAATGAGAAAGACACTGTTTTAACGTTGATGGAGAAGAATTCAGAAAAATCAATCGGATCAATGCCAACGGAAGGTACTTGCACCGTGGACATGGATCAGTTTAGTAACAAGAAGTCTAATTGGTTCGACGATCGTGCCGAAGGAATGAAAGCCGATACGGAATGGAAGAAACAGACTGATTCGTCGCAAGAATCTTGCGGCGATTTGTACATGCAGTCCGGTAAGAACAAAAGAAAGAAGTCGGTGAAATTTCAAGGTGGATTCACAGTGATCGGTCCGAAAAGTCCTGACAAAGATGGTTCCATGGGGAATTCCGCGAGTCAAGATACGAGAACTGAAAAGCAAAAAACTCCCGACAGACCGACACTGAAAGGAGCCATTTTCAGCGGGGAAATGGATCTTCGAGGCACCGAGGAATTGGTGGACGATGACTCACGAATCGAGAAACGAGACGTTGCTGCTCAGGTTAGTAATTGGGTTAATTGGATGTGTAGGATAACACTTTGCGTGATCACAAGAACCGTATTTTTGTAGTATTTGTAGAAAGTATATTTTGATTATTTCTGTTGGTATTTGTTATTAATTTAAATGTATTTTGTGTATGAAATAGAAATATTTTTAAAAACATTGTGATTATGATGTAACATTATTAGGTTATTAGAGGTGGAGAATCCAGTTTCGTTTGGGCATGATAAAAGATTCTCTTTTCAGCGAAATAAATTTCTGAAATTATGATATTCCTTGTTTTTTCTCTACATGTTATAGAATTCTGTTTGTATAGAATAATGCAATTGTAGATTAAGCTTCTAGAAAAGATATTTAGTATTATTAACGTGCTATTTTGTATAGTATTTTATGGACAAGAAATTGAGGGAATGTTACTTAAATAACGAAATTTAAGATAAAAATAAATATCGGTCGTATTAACACTAGATTGCCTAAAGCAGTCATTTTGACTACTTTTCAGTTTCAATTAGAAAAACAATTATGTATAGACTGATACAGCTTCTTAGAATGTTGTGACTTTTTGTACAACATATAAATGCGTTTATTAATAATTGTAGTTACCTCCCCCCTCCTTCATTTCCGGTATATATATATGTGTTGTACCTATATTGCCCCAAAGCAGTCAAAATGAATCAAAGTTTCAGTCTTTCTAGTGTTAAATTATGCCCATTATTCAGTATATAGTAAGAAACATAGTTACATATAGCTTGAATATGGCTATGTTCCGAATCAATTTATAATTATTATAATTCCATAATTAGAATATTACGATTGAACATTTATCCATATAAATGTTTATAAAAAGGAAATCACTTCCGATCTTGAAGACCTTGAAATATTTTATCAAGTCATTCTGGGTCATTTGTCGTCATTCATTAAGTGAACAAAGAACCTATGGATAAAAGTATATTATTTTCTGGACTTTATTTGTACTTAATAAAGTATATAGCAAGTCTAATGTCCTTGTTTACCGTTTATACTGAAATTTATCGATTTCTCTTACAGCTCTGTACGGAACTGACTCCGTATTATATCATTTCTCGACAGAAAGTATGACTCACACTCGGTACTGTATTATGATTATATCTGTATGTAAATTCAATAAACAAATTAAAAAAAACTGTCTACCAAAATTATCCTGTACTTTAATACAGTAATATGAACAAATAACTGCGTGAGCTTTAGTCCTGTCAATATTCAACTGAGTAATTCAAAGTGAGTAATACGAATAATTAGTTTTCATTTTCTTCTAACAAAGCAGGAATATTATATTTTTAATATAATTTTTAAACTACATGACATTTGATAAGCGTGCAATTTTAGCGTCGATCATTGTTCTTTATGAAGTATTCACATCTAGTCTAAAAGATGTAAATGAAAGACGCCAATATAAAATTGTATTGAACGCAAATTCTGTCGAAGAATGATGAACAATCTAATCTCCGGTGAAAAGCTAAAATCTTCAAGTTTAGATGTTTTGAATAAAAAAATTAGAATGTTTATATCAAAAGGTTTGAATACAAATTGTTTAATAATGGAAAACTCGACATATAGAAACTTTATATGATACCTAGTAATTTTCTAAGTGCAACGAGTTAAAGTAAGAAAACTTCAATAGTTGAACATGAATTAACACTTAAAAGAAGATATCGAATGAGCGGCTTTTAACACCCGCGATATGCAGTTATAAAGTTCGAGAGGCCGAGATATCAATGAAAATTCGACTTCCAGAGATAAATTTGGACTTGAAGAGATCAGGCTATTCTAACATCGAGATACAGAGGTAAAATACTGAATTTGGATATATATAGCAAATAATTTGAATTAAAGTTTTATCCCGACGGTAAAGATTTGTTCATCGGTGCAGAAAATAATGACAAAATTTTAGTTTCATAGAACTTCAAATTATCGAAGTTTGGCTACAGTTTTAAAGTAATTTCTTTGCGAACATTTTACAAATTAACAGAAACCGTTTGTTGTATGTATTTCAGAATCAATTTGTTCAAAATTTTGATAACATATTTTAAGATCATCAAAATTGGAAGTGATTATTTTATAAACATTTATCATTATGTATTTATGCATAATATTAGTAAACAAATGTAAATTAATTTTTAGTTCGACGTAGAAAAATTATTCTATTCACCTATACATATAGTAAGTATATAGCAGTTATAATATTATTCTTTATTAAACATTTCATATGATACTGTTTAAGCACATATTTAATTTGATGATTCGAAAACATCAAGAATAAAGCACAAAATCTGAACGAAATCAAGAATATTCAGGAATCGATATAATAAAATTAAAAAATACATATATTAATATTGTCTCAATTATTTTACGAAATCCTAAAAACTCATATCTAAATAATCGCGTTTGGAATTTATATTCAAATTATTTTTCAGTTTTCATATTGCTCATAAAATGTAAAATATTTAAAATTCAAAGATAAAATGTTAAAATCTTGATGCATTATTCAAGGCTGTTCGCAAACATTTTACATAACACAGTTACTTTGTAAGTCACTCCCTTACTTACATGTATACAGTTCTCCAAATTGAACTTATTAATCCTAGAACTCATACAGGAGTAATTGAATACTCAACTGAATTCTAAAAATTGTACATGTTTTAATTTCTTGAATCAATAAATATGTATGTTTACATTGATTGAAAAATAAAAAAGATGCAATAATAAGAAAATACAGTCACCGTTATAATAAAACAAGTATATAAAAAAAAAATATTAAAAAATTGAACAGTTATTGTGTTTATCATTTGGATAATTCATCACCATGTACATGCGCCTTAAGATTAAGTATAAGAAAATATATCCAGAAGCTAGAAACGTAATGGTAATAAAACCGTCTTAAGTTTGTCTAAACGCATATATTAGGGGTACCGAAAACTATTCAAAATTTCTTCAATGACTTCAAAGTTTTTCAATGAAAAATCGAAGGACTTTTTTTAAGAAGGGAATCGAACAATTGCCTTTAGAAATATTAATGAAACGCTTATATACACTGAGGTTTAACGCAAATTTTGTGTAGGTATATGTAATTTAGGATTATTTAAACTCACTCTAGATTTCCTTTATGATTTTAGTTTTTTACACACTACTTTAATTATTGAATTATTAAAGTATTGTTTTGTTTCCTTCTCTTATACTTATTCTCAACGAAAGGAAGCCTGTTACAAATTGATATGCCATAAATGTTGCAAAACTTTTATATTATCAAATTACACCACATTTTAATAAATTAGAAAATGATAATATATCTATGATAAATTTATTTTATCACCATTACATGATTTTTCCACATTTTAGAATTTCGATAAACAGACAAATTTCAGAAAAGAAATTCAATAATTGGACTGAAACATCATGGAACAAATCAATTTTTTTGTTACGTTATATTTATTTATTTTCCTTTCAGTTTATCGATATTGTCATAATATTCGCTTTTAAGGGGAACAAATAAGTTCTTAATTATATAACATTCTGTGCTTCGAATTGACCATTTGATGTGGAACAATTTATTGACTCTTTTTATATAAGCGACCACATGAAGTGAAATAACCTTCTTTTTAATTTTTCCTCCGCAGATACAAGCCGCAGCAGAATGCAAGGAATGTTCAGGTATTAATCGCTTCGTTCCAAAACCAGAAACCCCGCGCCTCGTATTTTATTGTACTGTATAGTTAAACTGTAGTTTCTATAAGTCGTCGTGGTCGTCGTCGTTTCCCCGAATCTCAACGAGATTTTCCCGCGATGTTTTGTTGCGTCCCAACTGTATTATTATTTCTCGAATACTTTTTTCTTTGTCAGGTCTTAACCAAAGAACAGATTTTACGATGCCTCGAATAAGATGCTTGCCACAATGCTTTTCCATCGTCGAACAAATTAGATACTCACAGATCTTACAATGAGTGCCGCAGAAATCAGAGAATTACAATAAATGTAGGTAGCAAAATTTTATTCTAATGATTAATTATAGAAAGTTACAATTATTCCACATCTATTATGCTTTTATTATATTTACCTTTTTAACATTATGTTTTGAAGTTAAGCATAGAGTAACGTTTCTCATTTTTTTTAAACTCTACAGCGGATAAATGTTGTAGTACATTAATGGTCCGTACGATACTTTACACATTAAGAAAAGAAACAAATACGTAAGGATGCATATAGCTCTACAGTCAAAAGCAAATTTGGCTTTATTATGAAGTTTACAATCCATGCATTTTTAAGAATTTTTGAGGATCTTATTAATTTACAGATGCGGAAATCTAAGAATTTAGAAATTTAGGGAGTTCTGGGTTTGATGATCCAGAGATTTGATATTTATGTGTTTAGGAGTTCAGAAATTTGAAAGTTTGGATATTTCATGATCTAAAAGTTTCAGAACTTGAAAATTTGAAAATAAGAAAATATAAAAATGTAAATATTTTCAAATATGGAAAAATACAAATTTGAAAATACGAAAAGTAGTAAATTCAGAAATTTAAATTTACATATGCTACCTTACCTAAAGAGAGCCTACATTGTAGTCTAGTATATCTGATGTGTATTTCTCGTAACGTCGATCAGGTAAATCATGACAAACAGATGTTCTCTTTTCCCAAGGATATTTAAAGTTATCGCGGGTTCTCTGGACAAACAGATTTTTCGGTCAAGTGCATTAGCCGTCTTTGGTTCGGATTTATTTAATTCTACTCCTCTATTGGGTAGCACGTATTCACGGAGCTTGTTCTGGTAATTTCTTGTGTCATTTTGTTCGACTTACCTTACATGTTTTCGGGTAATGCGGCTTTACTAGATTTACTGCACCCTCGAGAAAGACACAAAAACTATGTGAATTGTGGCTTTGTTCGAATCGCTATTTCTCTTGCTAAGTAATGAGTCTGTTGTAAAATTTGTATAGGATATCATTGATTAGAGTTAAACGTGAAATTAACACGTTAGTTATTGTAAGACAGCTGATGGGCAACATTATTTAAGAAAATATTAAAAAATAGTTATTTTTGAATTTTGTGAACAAAGAATATTTGCAGCACGTTCATGAGTACTTTTTAAGGAAAAGAAAGTGTTACTAGTATTTATTTAAAACGTGATGGAACAGTTGTAAAAAAGTAGTGCAAATGGAAAAAAGCAACAGTGATTGAGCTTACTCGCCTGTTACGTTTAATCCTTATATTTTTCAATTTCTTGAGATATACTCTTAAATATCGTGTAAGAATTTTTTGTTTGCAAGGAGGTCTAAAAATGATAATTTTAAAAAATTTTTCTTTAATATAATTTAGTAAATGTATGAAATTAAAAAAAATTGGGAAATGCTACGTAGTATTAATTTTACTTTATTAAGGAAAAAGATCAAATGGTTAATGTAAACTGATAAATCTAACGATCATAATCTGAACAATTATAAGTATAGTGTACGCATTACACATAACTGTCATCATTGCGTTATACATATAACGTGTTAATTTCAGAAGTTATAAATTTGAAATAATTATGACATTGACCTTGACATACGAGCATCAAAGTCGTTCTCCTGAATGACCCTCAAAAGGTTTTAATCGTAGCTCGATTAAAAGTTCTTAATGAAAATGTATTGTTACTATTACACTGCAATCTGCGTAAATGCATAGTCATTATAATAATTCAATCAGTAATATCTATTAAACGTTGAAAATATAAAATTGCACGAATTATGTAAATCCATACACTATATGACAATTAGAGTGTTATACTAATCCGTGGTATGTCCAATTTCAGTAAGAATTCATAGAAGTTACATGTTAAATATTATTTTTTCAAAAACTAATTCAATCAATTTATTTTTTTAATATTATTGAATTAGTGTATTATCTGATCGAATTATTATATTTAGTTATTATATTAATTTTATACTTGAGAATGTTATTCAATGCATGTTAACAAATTTATAATTTTAAAAATGTAATTAGCATTTGTCAGAATACATAAATATCAGGTGAAAAATAACATTATTAAAGATTAAGAATCAAAATCACGTATACGTTACCGCGGCCATAACAAAGTTAATTAATATAGCTTACCCTGTCGTTGGATTAATAAATTGAGTGATCAAATAATTATATCTTTAACTCTTGAGTGTTAAATCAGGGTCAGGTTTAGTAGAAGCTTAATTTGTATTTTTCTAGGTAAATGAGTAGCCCATTGTTTCATAGAAAAAGTTATATACTTTTTTTATCTAAGAAAATTCCATTTTTAGAAATTGTTCGATAAAAATAATAATCACGAAACAGAAACATTTACAATAAACGAGGTTGAATATTATTAATTAATTATACTGATCTCTGATTATTAAATTAGTGCAGTATAATTTATATAGATACGTGTATATTAATTGTGATGGATCATTTTCCAATAAATTTTTTTTTAATATTGTTTTATCAAAGCATGTTTATATTTATAGGACTTAGAATCAATTTTAACTTGGTTTTACATTATTTAATAATAGTAATTAATACGTAGATTTTAAGAGTGTTATTAAAAAACATTACAATTTAATTTTTCAACAAGATTATTCAATGTATTACTTAATATTTCTAGTGAAATATTAATGATATTCCATAATTTTTCTTCATTTATATTATGGTTATAAAGCAAGAAGTTATTTTAAGATGCTAATTAAATAGTTAACAATTTGTATTATAATTTTCCGGTTTACATGTAGATGTTACCAATGTGGTAATTTAATTAATTATAAATGAGCTTTTCCAACGATTGATTGGATTAAAATTGATTGCATGATAATCGTGTTACATTAGATAATGGTATTTGACAAGTAATTAGTTAACAGTAATCCATGTAGATCTTGTGCAAACGAATATTTATAGAGCTAATAATATAGAATGAGGGATTAAGGAAAAACGAACAAATAGAATTTGGTAATAGTACTATACTTTAATTATTGTAAAAATATCTACTTAAAAGGTTAATAAATTGCTGTATATTTACAAAATTGCAATTAAGAGAGTTCCTTACTGAGTATCAAAGAATTATTGCACAACTGTACCTCTAGTAATGATAATCTACTGTTAGAAATTAAACTGATTGTCCGTATAAAGTAAAGTATTAAGGATATCTCAGGTATTTATAGGAAACATAATGAATCAATTTATCTTCTGAATCAATATTATTTAATTATTATTTAATAAACGTAATCTTTCCGAAACTTATAAATTCGCTATGCAGATATATTACAACCTTCTCCAGAATTAAAGAAATTACAGCATTTGAATGCAGTCTTCTATTATCAGCAACACTGTAGGAACAGAGAAATTTACAAATTGCAATATGTATATTCAGTTATGGAAGTTTCTACGAATCTCAATGCACAAAAAGGAGAATCATTACGGGCACCCGAGCGAAAATGGCATTATAACGAGCATCTACTGTATTTATCTGTTAATCACCGACGTTTTGCGTATCGGGGAATTAGCACCAGAACAATCAAAGCTATGAAAATATTACGTTTCAGATTGCGTATTGAATGACAGGAATTATCAAAGTGCTTTTGTCGAAACGTACATGTATATTGACGTTTGTGGGGACAAAGGATAATTATATGCGGTAATTTATTTACTTCTCTAATTTATCTTTAATTTAAAAATTAGTATTCAGTTTCGTCTGTGTTAGCATCAAAGGAGGCAATGAATTCGTTAAAAATATGACAATAATTGAAGCAAAGCATCTTGTCCTGTAAAAAAAGAAATCTGTTCTTTCGTTAAGCTCTATTTGCTGGTTATTTTCCGTTCTCCGATCGCCTTAGTCGTCTATGTTAAACGAAACGGCAAACAGCTTTTAGCTCTGTTATTGTCGCAACCTACTTTGCGCATCCTTTATATAGGAGAATGTTGTTTTTTGGCGAAAATATTGTACCGCAGGTTTCGCACGCGTATTAACCCCATTGTTCTGCGTGTATTGTGTAATCGTAACGTAAAGGTGGAAGTAATTTTACGTGATAGAGTAGAATGTCGAAATAATATACTTGTTGTGCTGTTTTTGTTGCGTATACGCGTTCAACTGTTTGATTTAAGTACACGTCAGTATTCAGTGTCGTAAAAAGTACTATCATTTCGGTACTCACGAGTCGTTTATTGGATCTAGTATATGTATCGTGTAAAGTGCATATATTTGTTAATTAATCATAGAAATCTGAAGTTTTGAAAAAAAATCTTAGGTGTATTTTATTTAACATCAAAATGTGAAACAATTATAATAAATACCTTTTTAATTGGTCCATATGGAATCGGATCTTTGGCCAGAAAAAGGAATTATCGATTAATTTGAAAATATATGCAGATCACTTAAAAATTGTAAATATAATAAGAAATATCTCTGTGCAACATTTATTATTTACGTATAAAATGTAGATGCAATATACAGTAACATGTATGTACATAAATAGATAATGTTTATTAAACATTTACTTATTGTTATAATAAATGTGGAATTAGTAATTTTCATCAGATTTTTTTGTTTTCTGATTTTAAGTATTCATTTCAACAATAATTGGTATGTAATTATTACTATTTTCATATCGAGCAATATCACTTTTAAAATGTACAATGTTTGAGTGCAATGTCATTCCTTTTATTATAATATTCAATCATTTTTATAAGACGAGACGCGAATTGTATCCTGCATATTAACTTCACAAGAATCATAAATTTAACAAAAATTATATTGTTTTACTTACATATTTGTAACGTTTCTGAAACTATGCTCACGAGTTAATTGCGCTCATGAGGCCAAGAGCGGCTTTTACCTATTGAAAGGTTGGTTTTTATCGACATTTGTCGTCTTCGGCTTCACGTACTACTTCACAATCAACAATTTGTGCCATGATGCATCAACTTTGCACCATATACAGCATCAGGGTCTGCGAAGAGGCGATTTTGTAGATGATTAGACCTTTCCTGACCTCCTACTGGCACAGGATGCAAATGTTAAGGGATTGGCAGTTTTCCTGGGTTGTTCCAACAAGGAAACATATGTCCAACAGAATTGAAAATTAATTGTGGCTCTAATTATTAATTGTAATTACTGAAACGCCACTCAAAACAGCGGGCTTTAGAGACCAAGCTGCTCAAAGTAGGATGCCTGCTATTCACTGGCTACTAAACAACATAGAGCGAACTTCGAGAATCTGACGGCGAGTTAGCAATTCGACGAGAATAATCATTTTAATGGAGTGGTTTCAGAGCTTTCGTTTTGATGTCTTTGGTTTTCCTGGGCCTGAACATAACTCAGATCATTAATAATATATTTTGATTAATGTTTAATGATTTTAATATAAAAATGATAATTTAATAATAATTTAATTCGAAATAC